AACAAAAGTTTGACATTTTGTTTGCGTAATAATTGAAAGACGATAACTTTTAACATTTCATTTAAGAAAAATGAAGTTTCTCCAAAAACCTACAATTATTTTTTTATTGAAACAAAAGTTTGAAATTTTGTTTTTCCAATAGAAACACGATAATTTGAAAATTAACTAGATGCGTAGCGCAACTTGATCTCAAATTTATATATTAGCGAATAAAACAAATCTGGTCCAATCAGAAATTACTACGTTTCTCTCTTCAATTGCTTTTCTTTAAACAATTGAAAGACGATAACTTTTAACATTTCACATTTAACATTTCATTATTTTTTTATAGAAACAAAAGTTTGAAATTTTGTTTTTTTTTTCATAGAAACACGATAATTTGAATGTTGCAATTTTCTCAGCATGTAAATTAACTTGATTAATATTTGATGCGTTGCGCAACTTGATCTCAAATTTATAAATAAACAAATGCGAAAAAAGCAAATTTTGAATCTCGTCCAATCAGAAATCTATGTTTTCATTATGTTTCTATCTACGATCTTCAATTGCTTTTCTTTAACAAACAAGAAAATAAAATGACTTGATTAATATTTGAGGCGTTGCGCAACTTGATCTCAAATTTATATATAAACAAATTCAAAAAAACAAATTTTGAAATCTCATCCAATCAGAAATCTATGTTTTCATTACGCCTCTCTTTGATCTTCAATTGCTTTCCTTTAATAACCAAGCAAATATGAAAAAACAAAATCAGAATCGAAATCAAAAATTTGACTTATTTTTATATAAAAGTTTGAAATTTTGATCTTTCAATAGAAAGACGATAATTTGAATGTTACGAAATCAAGTGAGATTGATGAAATTATGGTCGCAAAGTGCAAAGATGACGAAAACTAGATCGATCGATAAACCGAGGGTCACGGACCCAAGGGTCACAGCACCGACGACGACCGTATGGTAACGGTTACCAAAGCGACCGGAGGACTTGCCTGTATCTCTGCACGATGCACTTGGCCTCATCCAGACTCTTGCTGGATGCGAACACGTTCAGAGGATTCGTGGTGATGAGGAAGTGATGGGCCCTTCCGCTGTATGTCTGCTGATCCCATCTGGGCTTATCGATGTCGATGTTCAGCTGGTAAAGATCCGGACACTCTTGCTCGCTCATATTTGCTCCTTCTCGAATTCGCAAATTTCCAATTCAAAAAAAAAATGTATATATGTATTGTATTCGTGATGGATGCGGCACCTGGACTATCCACGTACTGAGCAGCTACTTTATCGACCTATCGGAGGAACGCTATCAACAGATGAACATCGCGCACGTTCTTTATGTCACACACAAACTCACGCAACACACACGCCCCTTCCTTATCTCAGATATACTCGCTAATCGTACACTAAAAGGAATTAGTTATTAGTCTTTATACTCTTACGCGCGCACTCTTGATGATTGCGTTACGTCTGTTGCGTTACGTTATGCTGAGAATACAGACCTTCGATGTTCCACTGTTTCGCACACGCTTAAAATCCTGAAGCGAATTGCCGTTTGGAAGTCGCGCGCACTCTTCGCGTTATATATCGATTCTGGCGGATTCCCCCACTGGCGATTCCTTATATACCGACGATTCCCGACACTGATCAACAACAACAACAACAAAAACTGTACGAAGAGAAGAACAAACGTCACGTGTCAGATGAACTGACAACGCGTTGCTTTTGTTATCACGTCGAATTTTGTTTTTTACCTGAAAAAACAAAATTCAAACTTTCTCCAAGCCCCACCCAATTTCAACGGAATAGTTCGAGCGTCTTCCACTAGAAATTTCAAAAATTCAATTCAATATTCAATAATATTAATAATCAAATTCAGTTACATTTATATCAATTAAAACTTAATTAATAATTAGATTAAAAACGCGTCTGTTTCAACAAAAATTCAAATTGTCCATTTCCTTTATTTCAAGCGCGTTCCGCTAGATGTCACTAGAAATCATGGACAATAAGAAAATTCAACATGCATATTAATAATTTGCGATTGGCGTAATGCGTCTAAAGGACGCAGCTAAATGGAAGAGGCTCCTCCTAGAGGGAGGTAGCAGACGGAAGCAAAAAAAAAATATTAATAATAAGACTATAAGTGGATTTATACTCTTCATTAGAAGTTGATAAATATTAAACGAATTGAAAAAAAAAAGTTTCTTAACATTTTAATTAATTACTCCATAACCACACGTACTAATTATATCATTTAACGTGCAAATCAAAGATAAAATTATGATAATTCCAACAAATAAACTCCCAAAATTCTGATATACCTCTTTATTCTGTTATAAGCATTTCAAAAATAATATTTATTAGATGCACATTTGGTTGCATACATTTGAATTTTTGTTCAAATTACTTAATTTTGTATTACTAATTATTTTGATGATTGTTTTCATTTTATCTCAGTCTTTTTTTCATAATATGTAAACAAAAATAAATTCTAATAAGTTTTTTTTTTAATTTTCACAATATTTTTTTTTAAATATATTTTATAATCACATAAAGTAAAATTGAATATGGTAAATCTTTTCATATATCAAATTTTACGTAATTGTTTGGAAAGTTTGGAAATTTTTCTATATGTTTTCATGTCTTCGCGTTTAATTTAATTACTCGAGAACGACATAAGCTAATTGGATCATTGAATATGCAAATTACAGAAAAAAACTATAGCCTTTCCAATGACTTTACTTATAGAGTTGTTGTATCTACAGTTTTAGTGCAATATTGTAAAAAATAAATAATGAAATTATGTATATTTGGTTGCATGCACTAATAATTTAATTAGTGATTTTTATGTAATTTAAGCTTTTAATTGAATATTTTGATATAGAAATTCGCAAGTAATATTAATTATTTACCAAAAGATGTTGATGTTGATTTTTCTTGTTTTTGTGCTGTGAAAACAATCTAATAAGAATGTAAATTATAGATAAAATTATAGCCTTTTTAATTATTTTAATGCTATAGTTGTTGTATCTACACTTTTGGTGCAATATGTTATAAAAAAAATAAATAATGAAATTGTGTATATTTGGTTGTATACACTAATAATTTAATTAGTGATTTTTTGTAATTTCAGCTTTTAATTGAATATTAAAAAACAAAATCGGAAAGTAATATTAATTATTTACCAAAAGCTGGTGATTTTTCTTATATTTGTGCTGTGAAAACAATCTAATAAGAATTAAATTATAGACTTTTTAATTACTTGCATACCCTAATAATTTAATTTTTGATTTTTTTTGTACTTTCAGCTTTTAATTGAATATTTTGAGATACAAATCGGCAAGTAATATTAATTATTTACCAAAAGCTGGTGATTTTTCTTATTTTTGTGCTGTAAAAACAATCTAATAAGAATGCAAATTACAGATAAAATTATAGCCTTTTTAATTACTTTAATGCTATAGTTGTTGTATCTAATATGTTATAAAACAAATAATGAAATTATGTATATTTGGTTGCATACACTAATAATTTAATTAGTGATTTTTTTGTATTTTAAGCTTTTAATTGAATATTTTGAGATAGAAATCGACAAGTAATATTAATTATTTACCAAAAGAAGTTGATTTTTTTTGTTTTTTGTGCTGTGAAAACAATCTAATACAAAAGTAAATTACAGATAAAATTATAGCCTTTCTAATTACTTTAATTCTATAGTTGTTGTATCTACAGTTTTAGTGCAATATTTTATAAAAACAATAATGAAATTATGTATATTTGGTTGCATTCTTTAATAATTTAATTATTGATTTGTTTTGTAATTTCAGCTTTTAATTGAATATTTTGAGATAGAAATCGACAAGTAATATTAATTATTTACCAAAAGAAGTTGATTTTTTTTGTTTTTTTGTGCTGTGAAAACAATTTAATAAAAATGCAAATTATAGCCTTTTTAATTACTTTTTAATGCTATAGTTGTGTCTACAATTTTAGTGCAATTTTATAAAAAAATAAATAATGAAATTGTATATATTTGGTTGTATACACTAATAATTTAATTTTTGATTTTTGTTTTTTGTAATTTCACCTTTTAATTGGATATTTTGAGATAGAAATCGGCAAGTAATATTAATTATTTACCAAAAGATGGTTATTTTTCTTGTTTTTGTGCTGTGAAAACAATCTAATAAGAATCTAAATTATAGACTTTTTAATTACTTTAATGCTATAGTTGTTGTATCTACAATTTTAGTGCAATGTTATAAAAAATAAATAAAGAAATTGTATATATTTGGTTGTATACACTAATCATTTAATTTTTGATTTTTTTTGTAATTTCAGCTTTCAATTGAATATTTTGAGATAGAAATCGGCAAGTAATATTAATTATTTACCAAAAGAAGTTGATTTTTCTTGTTTTTTGTGCTGTGAAAACAATCTAATAAGAATGTAAATTACAGATAAACTTATAGCCTTTTTAATTACCTTAATATTTTATTGCATATCTAATAATTTATTTAGTATTTTTTTGTAATTTCAGCTTTTAATTGAATATATTGAGATAGAAATCGGCAAGTAATATTAATTATTTACCTTGCTTTTGTGCTGTGAAAACAATCTAATAAGATTTTATATTTTTTCTGTTTGACTCAAAAACTTCAATTGTTTTTACTTATAATTAATTAGATATAGGCAATTAATAAAATTATAAAAGATATAATAGATTTTATACAATAAAATCAAGTGTTAATGGAAGAAAAGTGGGCCAATGTTAATTATTCACGACTGGCCTACATTCCTAGCATTATTTACATATAATCCTTTCAAAAAAGCGGATTGATTCCGCAAAGAACTTTCACTCTCCTTTGCGACATTGCCACGTCGCGAAAAACAGCGAACTCAGCGCGAATCGTCGAAAAAAACAAAATACTTTGCCCTCAACAGGTAAACATTGCGTAAGCACAGAGTATTTAGATGTGGCAACGGGGCGAAGCATGTGTTTGACGTTTTCCTGCTGACAGTTCGTTCGTTGTGGTTGTGTCAAGCTGACAGCTGTTAGGTGTGCAGCAGTTTGCCAGCATGGCTGACCGTAAACAAACGAGGGAAGTGCTCACCGTGCTGGGTCTGTGCATCCTGTGGTACGCCGTCAGCTCCAGCAACAATGTCATCGGTAAAATGGTTCTCAACGTGTTTCCATATCCGCTTACCATGACGATGGTCCAGCTGCTCTCCATCACCGTCTACTCGGGACCCCTGTTCAATATGTGGGGCGTCCGCAAGTACGTGGACATCTCCTGGCGGTACTACTTCCGTCTGATAGTGCCACTGGCCTTCGGCAAGTTCTTCGCCTCTGTGTTCTCGCATGTGAGCATCTGGAAGGTGCCCGTCTCCTATGCCCATACAGGTAATACCAGCAGCGATAATAGCATGCAAATCCTAAGCTTTGATTTGTTCCAGTAAAGGCTACGATGCCTCTGTTCACTGTGATCCTCTCCAGGTTGATCATGAAGGAGAAGCAAACGTATAAAGTCTACTTCAGCTTGATCCCGATCATAGCTGGGGTGGCTGTGGCCACAGTGACTGAAATAAGCTTCGACATGGTGGGATTAGTGAGCGCGTTGGCTGCCACAATGGGATTCTCTCTGCAGCATATCTTCTCGAAGAAGGTGCTGCATGACACGGGTATACATCATCTCAGGTTACTCCACATACTGGGCAGGCTGGCCCTGTTCATGTTCCTACCGATATGGCTGTGCATCGATCTATATAGTTTAATTCACAACGCTTCTGAGGTAATTAAAAAAGAAACTGATCCAATTGTGCTTGATCTTTTATAATTTTCAGACTCTCAGCGAGAGCAGAGTGTTGATGCTGTTGTTCGCCGATGGTGTGCTGAATTGGCTGCAGAACATCATCGCGTTCAGCGTACTCTCTTATGTAACTCCTTTAACGTACGCGGTGGCGAACGCCAGCAAAAGGATCTTCGTGATTGCCGTCTCGCTGTTCATCCTGGGCAATCCCGTGACGGGTACGAACATCTTCGGGATGCTCTTGGCCATCTTAGGCGTTCTCCTCTACAACAAGGTGAGACTTCTTGTATACGTAATCTTTGCTTTTGTTTATAATTGTATCGTTTTTGGCAACGTTTCGCAGGCCAAGTACGACGCTAAGCAGAAGCAGACGTTGCTTCCTTACAGCAGCCAAAAGAGTTGGCAGGTGCGGAGCGGTTACACCATGTACTCGACGAACAACACCAACGGTTTCACCCATTCCCACATAAACGGGTTCACGCCGAACGGTAAGCCAACAACAACAACAACAACCAATGCGAACGGTCTCAACAACAATTACAACAGCAACAAGAATTTGCTCTTCATATGAGGCTCGAAACCCCTCTTAACTAAATTGAAATTCTAGCTCAATTACAAGTCCCATCGCCCTTTCCCAAATCTCCTCATAATTTTAAGTACTATTTCAACAAGCAAACAGATTCTCCTCCGTACGGATTAAGCAATAAACGGATATTCTCTCAACCTATCCAAAATAGCAATAACACTCGATCATCTCAACTACTAGCAGCAGACAACTCCGAATACTACTTAAATTAAGTAACAAACGACTTTAGTGCGCGTCGGGATAAGACAACAACAACAACTGTGTTCTGTTATGTTCTCTCATCAACGATTGATCTTTGTTATGTACATAGGATTATTTATTTTTCTATTTTTTAACTTCTTATATACTTTCAGTATTCGTATCAATTGGAACGTAAAATTTCGTAATTATTTATATTTGATTTACGTAAGATTTTTTTTAATCTCCTTTCTCCCCTTATGTTGTTGATCTATGTATTGTTTTATTATTTTATTCGTGTTTCTCATT